GAGTTTGGATGCCAGGCCAGAGCAAAACCTCCTTATGAAAGGGATGCTTTTTAGGAGAGCTTTTTTTGAGTTCTTGGTTAGATTTTTCTGTTGTTTCTGTCTTGTTGCAAACATTTTTAAAAATAAAATGTGCTGACACACTGTCTAGAAAACTGGAATGCAAGTTTTGAAAATAGCCAATTATGATCTTTTCCTGGGGGCAAGACCTTGATTTGTCACTTTCTCGTCTTCCCTACTGCACCTGGGATGCCAGAGGGAAAACATTCTAGGATAGGATATGTGGCTTAAGTATTAAACCCTCCCAACTTGGAGTCCCAAGCCTGTGGCTGATAATTGAGATGGGAGATAAACTGGATAGAAATAAGATGAGGCTTATTTACTGCAATAGGAGGTAAGGGAAATTGTAATGTAAAATGGAAATACGGGATTTTAGCTCTTAATCTGTACATGACAAGAAAACCCTTACTTGTCATGTTTAATAACTTTTTACAAATAAGCACAGACCCCCCCTACTGCAACTTTGTAACACTTTATACCTTCAGTTACTCAGAGGGGGGGGGGGGGGGCTTTATGAGAAATCCGATCCCTGTACTGAGATTATTTCGCTCTACTGTTCATTCAGCCGTTGTCTCTAACTGTCCACTTCCAACTGTTAAGCACCAACTAATTTTAATTAACTCTCTGCTTTCCAGCCCACCTCTGCTGTTGGTTGTTGGAGTCCCATGGTCATTGGCTTCTGTGTTGCTGGATTCCCCCACCCCGTCACAACATTATAGACTTCCTTCAGCTTGCTAAAGCTGCTTAGATAACATTTGTTGTGACTTTGTTAGTATGTTTAGCAAGATCCTGTTGTCTATTAAATGTGTTAAGTGAAAAATCCAATAGTTCTTATTGTGATATTTTCTGAGTTTATTTCACCTTCTGCCCTTCTTTATTTGAGACAGAATAAGCAGCCTAGCGTTTTTTGGGGGGCCTCACATGTGACAATATTTGAAATTCTGACGTGATTCAAAACTCACGTTGGTAATAATGCAGATTTAATTTAAGCATGGCTTTCCCCTGATTCTTCTGTTGCATTATCATTCAGAAAAGAAAGACAGTTGCTTGTGAAAGCTACCTTTTTAAATGTAATATCCATTTTATTAGAAAGCAAACTAGATATTTTTTTCTAGTGCTATATCTTTAAAAACAACTTCTCTCATATTTTATCTTCCTTCTGAAGTATTTTTAATTTACATTAAAATCCCACATTTAATAGTTATTTCTACATTGTTTGGTGCTGGTGATCCTGACCAAGAGCAAACTGAGACCAGATGGTTGACAGAAAGCGATACCACCTGGTCTGTAAAAATTGCCAAATGTGTCCCTCCCATGTTAGTTTGCAAGGAGAGAGGAGAGCTCATGAAAGTCAAGCTATATGTGTATGAATTATCCAAGAGAATATTGGAATATTGAAGGAGACAGTATAATTTTTGAGATCCTTCCTTCCTGAACAAAGCTATTACCTATTCCTTTGGTTTATTTCTGTGCTTTTATTTCCGGAATAATTATTGCAGACTTTTGAATTTCCTTTAATATACCTGTTTGGGTGGATGTTAGTGTGAGCACATATTTTAGCAGCAATGATATGTTGATAAGAATATATGTTCCTGGACATACTCTGTGTCTACTAATGTAATTGAAAGCCCCCAGTGGCTGGCCGCCAGCAGGACCCTGGGGGCTGGGATGTGGGAGGAGCACCATTGGCCAACAGCATTGCATCTCTTTCAGGAACCACAGAAGTGAGGTCACTCTGCTGTGTTGTTGTTGTTGTTGTTGTTGTTGTTGTTGTTGTTATCCATTCAGTCATGTCCGACTTTTGGTGATTCTGTGGGCCAGCACTCTGCTGTAGGAATTGCCATACCATAGAGTTTCCAGCAATTCCTAGAGCAGAGTGATGTCAGTTCCAGGTTTTCCCTGGAAGTGATGTAATGCTATAGCAATGATGACAGTTCCCCCCCCCATCTTGCCAGCCACAGGAGTTGTAGCAGTCAATGAGAGCTGGTGGCAGGAGATCTCCTGCCTCCAGCCAGTAAGTGGTCCCCCCCCCCAGTACTGTGGTCCTGCTTTGTTTTGGGCCCATGCAGTGCTTCTAAATGGAGCTGCTACTGGGAACCTACAACTGAAGCATAGATGCAAGTCCCCATGGCCAACTTGTGTAAAAAGTAAGGTGAAGTTTAGCCCTCTGTTGCTCCTTCAGTCAAACTAAAGGAGTTCCTTTTTTATTGAAATCCTTTAGAGTTTTTTTGAACCTATACTGTTCTTTGACTGCAAAGTTTTTATTCCATAATCCTCATTATTTTTTTCTTTAAAAACAACAACAAAAACCCTTGTAGGTGGCCATGGAAAACTTATAGGGAGAACTGCTCAGTTAACTGCATGATACAAACCCTCATACTTTTTGACCAGATGTTGTTATTTTGTCATCTTGTGTGTGTTCTCTGTGTGTATATTTTTGTTGATTGGGGATGTGGATACGATGCCAGGGTTAAATTTGGAACCAACCCTAATGCTTCTACCTACAATTTTCAGGCCATAGCCATCAGGGTTTTTTTGGGGGGGGATAAATGAGAAAAACAGATGCATATTTTTCAAGATATCTTCACATTGATGAATTCTTGGAGTAAAAAGAAGAGAGGGAGAGACTCAGGAGTATATCCTAACACCTATCACATGACTTTGAGGCAACTGACAACAATGAAAGCAACTGCAAACAGATTTAAACGTAACTTCATACAAACATCAGTGCAGAAATTGAAATGAAACATAACAGTAGTGAACATGCTATTAACAAACAATAGGAAATGATGGAAATATTTAGATGTTGAATGCAGGAAAAAGAGGAGAGGGAGAAAGAGTCTGTCCACTGTTCTGATCACAGAGCACCTAAAAATCCAGTGTGGCATTATATCGATCCTGTATGTGGAAGGAAACATTAAAAAATGTACATCTGATTTTAGCATTGTATCATTGTTGAAGTAGCACACTGTGGTAGTGTAGTCTAGCCTTAACCAGGGAAAGCAACCTCACTTTCCATAATACCCTCGCATGCACCAAATAAAATGCATTGTACACAGGCATGTTGGAATCACCCGTTCGGGCTTCAGCAGTACAGGTTGAGTTTTAAGAAAACGTATTGCTAGTTTTACATGTGTCTGATTATACTTAAAAAACAGCAACAAAATATCAAAAATTAATTACTGATACGTTATGTGCAGTTAATTGGTGGTTATGCTAGTATCTTAATATTTTGTTAGCTGCTTCAAGAATAGTTTTATGGAGAGGTGGAATGAGGTATTTAAAACAAATAACAGAAATCTTTGGGGTTGACAGGGAAACCAAATGGTTTCAGCTAGTATTCCTGGATCCAACATACAGCTGTTCAGCTACAGATATTTTAATTAATTAATCTATTATATATATATCCTAGGAGCTGCGGTGGCTCAAGTGGTTAAGACGCTGAACTGCAGGCTGTGGAAGGTCAGTAGTTCAGCAGTTCGAGACCCGAGTTGCCGCATGACGGAGTAAGCTCCCGTCTCTAGTTCCAGCTCCTGCCAACCTAGCAGTTTGAAAGCAAGAAATTGCAAGCAGATAAATAGGTACTGCTTCGGTGGGACGGTAACAGCGTTCCATGCGCCTTGGTGTTTAGTCATGCCGGCCACATGACCACGGAAACGTCTTCGGACAGCGCTGGCTCTTCGGCTTTGAAACAGAGATGAGCACCGCAACCCTAGAGTCGGACTCGACTGGCTTTCGAGCAAGGGAACCTTTACCTTTATATATATCCTACTTTATCTCATGGGCTTAGAGTAGCTTTCAGTAGGTTTTCCAAATGCAAACATTTCTGTCTCAGCAATGTAAATAATTATATAGTTTGTTAGATAATGAGGTCAATGAAATTTTAAAAATTGATGCTATATGGTATCTAAAAACAAAAAAGTCAAAGTACCCAATAAAATGACACTGGTTTCTGCAAGCATTTACTTGCTATGTGGCTATTTGTTGAAGAGGTACAGCAGAACATAAGAGAAGCCATGTTGTATCAGGCCAGTGGCTCCTCCAGTCCAGCATTCTGTGTCACACAGTGGCCAAAACCCAAGTGCCATCAGGAGGTCCCTAGCAGGCTCCAGAAGCCCTCCCACTTAATGTTGGATGACAACATCTACATGGATATAGGATGACTACTTAAGTTGATGGTGCAAAAAGACAAAATAAAATAAAATAAAAATAAGAACATGTAGTTCCATAGCAGTATATACCAGGTCCAAGCCTACTGATGGTTACTGCCAGTGAGAGACATCTCTGAAGTTTGGGGTAGGGTTTGTATTCAAAGCATGAAAACAAGGATAGACATAGAAGTACCAGGATACACACTTCTTGGTTTCCAGTTTGATCTGGGAAATCAATCAATCTTCATCTGCTTCCATCAGCAGAGGGAGAGGGGGGTCACATTATATGATAGTTGGAGCAAGTTGTGATTTATGGTGCATGCTGTAAATGTTACCATGTTTTCAAGGACAGTGCCACACTCTATTGGTGTTGCCTGTTCTGCAGAATGGGAATGAGTTGGATGGGGAGCTGTGCTCAGTGATGGTGGTGCTGTGTCCGGAACGCTACCTATGAGCTAAATGGATCTTCAGTTTATCATTTAGGAATGTCTGCATCTCTCCAGCACTAGCACCTGTTGACTGTCAGAAAGCAAGCAGAAAGGGGGAGACTTAAGCTCTGTTTGTTATCTTTGTTTATCTTTAAAAAAATTACTGTTCTTTGTTCTGCTCCATGACTAGACTGCAAACTAGATCTGTGATGTGAAAGTGCAGACAGAATCATTCTTAATAAATGGAAGATGACACAATCAAGTGCTGTCTTTTATTTATGGTGTTCAGTTAAAATTATACTTCATCTGATAGGCTGTAGAATATAATGAAAATGCTTTTATTTCTGCATATCTTATTTGGCAGGTCAAATACAAACGAGACTTTGAAGAAAGCAAGGGAAGAGGCTTCAGCATTGTAACTGACACACCAGAACTGCAAAGACTGAAAAGGACGCAGGAGCAAATCAGTAATGTATGTGACATCATTTTCAGTGATACTAGATCTTAAGAATGGTACACAAATAAAAAGGCATGATATGAGGTTGCAAGTATGAATCTGTGTGAGTGAAAAAACTGGATTATTTGATGTGTTGGTATGTTTGGGATTAGAGCTTTGTTTTGCTTACCCAGTACATTGGTAGTGTGTGTTTCTCCTCTCCAATACTAAAGATGGATTTATTATTTACACTTGCTGTTAAAAATCTCATAAAGAAACAAATCCTGTTTTTACAAATAAGAATATTTCTGTTATGATTCCTTTTTTAAAAAAAGACTTCAGTGCAATAGATTTTAATATAAATGATACAAGATAGAAATTACAGAATAATATTCCACATAACTTCTGTTTGTACAGTTACCTCCACATGTATTGTTAATATTTAATTTTTCAAGATACAGCTACAAAGTGGATTTGTGAGATACAAAAAATATCATAAAATAACTGTAGTGTTGGAAACATTGCAGCTGAACTGGAGAGAGAGATTTAAGGAACAGAGCAACTCTGGTTTGTGACAACAGAGGATTTTTTGTCTATTCTGAATCCTTTTTTTCTTGGAGGGAGGTAGCATCTAAAAACCTGGGAAAGGTAGCTTCCAGAAGGATACTGTAAGTTGATGGGGAAAACTGGGTGAGTGGTGGTAAAATGTAAAGATGCAATGTGACTGGATACAAGAACAACTTTCAAAAGTGTTCAGAATTGCTAGGTTGAAGTGCACACAGGAGTACAAATGTTCACCTGATCTTTGAAATAGCTGCACATGTTCTGCTTCTTATCCTTTTAAATGCATTTGCTGTCATATCAACAAATGATTACATCACACTTTGGGTAAAACCACTGATTGGATTTGAAAACTGATGCTACACACCATATAGCAAAAAGATCAAGAACAATTGGTAGAACTGTGTGCTCCCTTCTCCAGAGTCTAGCCCTTCCTCGTTTTAAAAGGCCCCCAGCCTTTTAATGCATAGGAGGCTGATCATGGTTTATGCCAATCTGGGTGCATAATGTGGCCTTGCCCATGGAGCCAGAACATAGGGTTGCCAGGTTTTACTTTGTCACCCGTGGGGGGTGGGAGGGAGCTTTCTGGGAGTCGAGAAGCAGGGTGACATTGCTGTGCATGACATCCTCGATGCTCTGGTATTTTGGGCAAAACTCCAAGGTAACCCTGTTGTGTTATCACGTCAGGGATGTCACGCCGGGTCATGGCTGGTGGGAGCAGGGTTTCCCTCCACCAGCCAGCTGGCTGGTGGTGGGCTGGAGCCTGAGAAATCGGGGGATCCCCCACTCCCACCTGGGGGCTGGCAACCCTAACAGAACATATTCCTTACCTATCAATAAGAGATGGCAAACATAACATCTGCAGTTGTTTACTGGATAGCTGGTGTCCATCTTTAAAAATCTCTTGTTACCCATCCAGAATTTTTGAGAGCTAGTGCATGAAACTTGTCACATATCTCTAGGTTTCAATCAAATGTCATGTTTAAATTAATTAACCATGGTTTGTTGAACTAACTACAGTTAGTGCAGCAGATGATCAACACTAATGGAAATCTTTCTGGAAATCTGTTTGCCTGCTACCAATGAGAGCCAACTGCAATAAGAGTGGCAAAGTACTACAACAAACATAAATATTCATGCTGTTTATTGAGATATTAATAATTAATATGTACAGTGCATTGCTTGCTGTGTGATATTTGACCTTAAAAGGCACACATTTGGCCCTTTAGTTCATTCTTTTATGAGAAAAACAGTAGATAGGATGTCATGGATTCAGTAGTAAGAGGGTATGAAAGTATGTGCTTAGTGTTTGTATAATATTTTGATATGATTTTAGACAAGGTTGTTTTAAGAGATATTTAATATAGATGAAATGATACAGAAAAACAATTCTTTGTGATATAAATAAAAATATCCGATTACCTTTGCACTGACAAAAATGATTAGATCATTGATAGGAATGTGATGTGGATGGAATGTTAAACCTCTCAGATAATCACTTTTAATTCACCATACATATAACTCTATGAAACATAGATACTGTGAAAAGCATACTTCAATCTTGAAAGTACCATGCTACATTAAAATAAAAGGTTCTCTTAGCCATTATCTGCTTTTTAATAACTTTTCAAGAATACATTTTAAGAAAGTGTCTCTATCAGTCCTTAAGGTAAGTGAATGGGCTTATGTCTTGCTTTCCCACTTTAATATGAAGCTTTTCTAAAATTTAGATGATCTTGTTCATTATATAGAGGAACTTTTTACTACTACTTGTTTTATCTTTTCCTAGGATTTGCAATGTTAGATAATTAAAGAGTGTCACACCTACTTCATCATACATTTAATAGTTCTGGAGCAAGATAGTTAAAATCTTGAATAGAAAGAGTGACAGATAAAAGAACTGTAAAATACTAACCATTTGATGCACTAAGCAAAGCTCTGCTGAGTGGGCCACAATGCTACAGGTTCTTTTCATAATCCTACTGCCAACAAGACCAACCATACACATGCGGGGTACATTTATGAATCATAGCACACTATGCTAGCAACAGCAAATAATCAAATAAAAGTATACAAAACCTGCCATAATACCTCACACATGGGAGGGAAAGATCTCAACTGAAGCTACAGGGTGGCAAGCCAGTCACTTCAGAGTTACAGAATAGAAACATAGAAATATAGAGCTGGAAGGGACCTCAAGGGACATCTAGTCCAACCCCATGTACAACACAGTAAATTCACAACTATCTTTTCCCCCACTGCCCCAGTGACCCCTAGGAAGGCAAAAAAACTCCAGGATCCCTGGGCCAATCTGGCCTGGAGGGAAATTCCTTTCTGACTTCAGAGTGACAAACAGCATTACCCTGGATATGTAAGAAAGGTCCACGAGAGTTGAACAATAACCCATCCCTTCCTGCCCTCCCTCTCATGAATTGCCCAGTAAACCTGGTCTTCCCAGGAATGGCAAGGAGGAATCTATTACCAGCGGTAATGCTTAGCTTCGCTGGTGCTATGATTGGAGAGTATGTAAACAAGCTTGGTTTCTTAAGATGTTATCTTTCTCTCTGGGTTTCTTCCTTGGATTGTTCTGAGCTTCTCTTGGCTAGATGGTCTACTTTTACAGAGATAAATGTTTTTATTGTTTTCAGCAGAGAGGTCAAAAGTTCCATTACACTGTGCATACTATCACATATGAAGCATTAAGCAAGATTTTAGCAATTCCTAACTACTTCATTTCCATCTTCCTCCAGACTACCTTCACAGGTTGCTTCAAGCAGCAGTTTCTGTTTTAAATTATTACTTCACATAAATTTTCTGTTCATGCAAGAGACCCCATAGACACTTTGACCAGTTTAACCACACATTTCTTAACTGATTCTTTCTCTCACTTTCAGATACTTAGAGATCTTTCAGAAACTGGCTCTGTCCAGTCCTCAACCACAGCTTAGCACAGAGGTGGCCAAACTTGCTTAGTGTAAGAGCCACATAGAATAAACATCAGATGTTTGAGAGCCACAAGACATGCACAAATATTACACATAGGGTTTTATTGAAAAACACACAAATTTGCTTTTTATTAACATTATGAAATGAGACTGCCAAAAACAAAAAGTAAAAACAGATATTGATAATATGCATTTGTCCAATGATGTTTATTTATTTGCTAATAGAGCAAACACATTTGAGAAGGCATTTAAAGTTAAAGTTGCTTTCTTTCTCTGCTCCCCCCCCCTCAAGCCTACCCAGGGAGGGGAACACTGGCTGGGGAAGGAAAGACCAATCGGGGAAGCATGCCTCCCCTTTGCTTCCCCAGCCACCATGCTGGGAGCTGCACAATATGTGTGAAAGAGCTGCATGAGGCTCCTGAGCCGCAGTCTGGCCACCCCTGGCTTAGCAGATGACCTGTATGACACTTAGGTATCCTTACAGATGGAAACATTCCATTATCATAGCTATAGCTCCTGAACTTTTAATTCCACATTCTGACTTGGTTTTGGCGTGGGGTGTTTTGGACCCTAAATTCATAGATTCCCATGCTATACTATAGCATTACTGTGGTCCTAGTATCTGAATAAAACTTTGTTGGTCTTAAAGGTGCCACTGGACTTAAACTTTGTTCTCTCATAGTTTATTTAAAATATTTCTATCACTCATTGCCCCCTGAACAAGATTCTGCTAACGAACTTATTCATTGTCAGAATCCAACAAATGCTCTACAACAGGATTGAAATCCTAAAACTACCAGCTTCTAAATTCAACATAATATCCTTAGAACAAGTTTGTATTTCAGCTTTTTCTAAAGACTTTAGGGGAAGACACCATCTTTCTTTCCTCAAGAAGGCCATTGCATAAAACTTGAATACTGAAAAAAGAAAACAAGCCCCCACCATATACTGAATGCTCAAGGTATTGACAAATGTATGTCTTTATCAGGTTTACATCTTCTGCTTCCCTCAGAAATATAAATAGAATTTGTAAATTAAGCAAGATGGAGCTAACCTATCAAGATGGAAGTTTGTCATGGAGTATGTATTTATATACTGTATATACCCTGTCAAACATGAAGCGAAGCAGAGACCTTGGGCAGTGAATTTTTTTTTGAGGGGGGGGGAGGCCAGTGCACATCCATTGCTACCCCTGTTTCACCACTCTTCTCTCTTCTTCAGTCTCACCCCTGGATCTGCTAATGCTCTTTCTTTCTTCACTTCCCCAGGCAAGAGGTTGTAAAGTCTCATTTGGCATGCACAGCTTGCTGCATTGTGATTTTGAGAGATCTGGGGGACAAGGAAGGGAAGGGGGGTTAGCTGCTTCTGATGGAGGCAAAGACAGTAAGAGATAGATGGGTGTGAAGAGTTGGGGTCGAAGCCTCCTTTGGCACCCCTTATTTGATCCACTACTGTTTTGCTGAATATTAAAAATGTAATTTTTGAGTAAATAATACCTCCTAAATTTAGCGAGAATATGAACCATAGAAG